ATTGGTACCAGACTTGTCTGGGAGGATAAAAACACTGACTTGTACATCGGCTGGCCCCCGCAAGTCATTGTATAGGCCACATCGCATTCAAACGCCACTACGAATGTACAAATGGAAGTAGAATGCGTGCCGCATCCCAAAAGGGATTGATCAACGGCAAATGCTTTATCCTTTTTAATGTCAGTAATGTATAGTAATGAGTAATGGAATGCACGGCTCTCAACGTGGCAGTTTCTCACTATGGCATTCACCAAGGGATTCGCTAAAATAGTTTGGTTTTTATGTTGAGGCAGTGTAAACAATCGAATAAGAATCTCTTTATGGGTGAAACTACATTGCAACTGATGCAAAAGCAGTGGAGCACGAGTTGCTCAATATCCTGGAGCAGTGCGAGGGGGTGGACAATGATCACAGCTTCCCTGGGATCCAGCATCTCCGTCATCTCCGTCATTTCCGTTGCCACCGGGCTGTCCTGGGGCTCCAGGTTGACCATTATCTCCAGGCTGTCCAGGTCCACCATCTTGTCCTGGGTTTCCAGGGCTTCCAGGTTGACCATCGGGTCCAGGAGGTCCTTGGGGTCCAGGTGGTCCGGGTGGTCCTTGTGAGCCGGGCCCTTGGTTGAGCGTTCCTGGGGCTCCTGGAGCTCCTGGGTTTCCGGGCTGGCCATCGTTTCCGGGTGGCGCCTGGTGGTCCAGGGGGACCTGCACCTCCTGGGTTTCCAGCGCCTCCGGGCTGACCGTCAGATCCAGGATTTCCTGGTGTTCCTCTGCCTCCTGGGTTTCCAGCTGGGCCGGGAGGACCAGCTGGGCAGTTGAAGCATGGGTGACATCAGGAGCTGGCGTTGCTGGTGGTCCATCAGGTCCATCTCTACCAGGTTGTCCAGGCTGGCCATCTGATCCGGGTTGTCCGTCTTGTCCAGGTGGTCCGGGTGGTCCAGCTGGAGAGACACCACATCCGCAGCATCCACCTCCGGCCTGACGGGCTTTCCTGGTTGATCCAGCGAGCACCTAAATTCGTAAGAAATATTCAATTGCGATACTAAAAAATGAATGTTGAGAGCTTACCTGAGTGCGGGTGACTTCTCTCCAGATGTTTCCAGAGCGGGATTTGCAGAAGTCGACCTCGTTCTGCATGACCGACTGCATGTGCTGCATGTAGTTGTAGAGCATGGGCACGGAGATCACACAGACGAGTGTGGCCACGGTGGAAAGGGCCACGCCGGTGAAGGCGATTCTCCTTAGGGAGAGTGCCTCTGATTCCCAGTGTTTCTCGTCGCCGGTCATGCTTGTGATTTCATCGGGAGCCGCTACTTTTATACGTTTTTCGCGTTCTACGCCCATGCCATTGACCATGCATTAATAGTATTACGGCATTATCGGCTTATGAAATTCGATTTTTTGATGACCCCTGTGAAGGTCAGTGGAAAAGATGTTAAGTTTTGGTTTCATTCACAGCTAGATAATGAGCAGAATTACATCCTCTATTCTGCTGAAGCCAAGAACGGCAATGTACCAGTTCCATGTGTCGTGGAAAGTGCACATCATAGAAATTGAATGGAGGAATCCATCCTTAATCAGTCCGCATAGCAATCAGTTTCTGGTCGTCACGAATGGGTCAAAGGGAAGCACCAGGATTAGCCCAACTAGTAGGAAGATACT